CCCCCCCCCCCCCCCCCCTCCCCCTTTACCCCGCTGGCGCCCCGGGCGATCGCCCGCTTCGCCCGCCCCTAGAAACGGCCCTGCCTAAATGTTGCTCATCCGGGAACTTTGGACGTTTCAAAGCCTCTTTGAACACAGGTTGAACGTCCTCGAGAACGTTCATATGCCACCTGGGAATGTTCCGGATTTACTTTTACCCACCAACCCCTCTTCCCTGGCGTTATTGTCAACGGTGCTGGAGAGACACCTAATAATTGCACTCATCCCTAATTGCGAAGAGCGCAGAGTCCTCACGCTTCACATTCACGATCTCTTTTATTTATTAGCAACAAACTTATCCATTACCCTATAGTTTTACGAATGGCATTACTTGATCGCCAAAGAATGGTCCGAGGGTTGGAGTTCAGGCCTTCACATCCGTCACGACTTCCCACATCGAGGTTAGGACGACCAATCACTCACGTATAATTTATTTCTCGTTTTCATTGTATGTGTTAACAGGATCTTAGGTATAGTGGCGTGCCCAAGGGGGGGGTTTGGAGGTCATAACCACAACCACGCCATGCCAAACACTCCTAAAGAGGGGTTATAATCATTGTGCAGCTCTGTTGGGCCGGCCTTAGGTATGTAGCACATGTGCCCTCGTCCAGGGCGTAAATTCACAAGGCGCCAAAAACATGGCTGAATGAATGTAACAATAATTGATGCCACCCTCCCCAAGTAACAATTTTAATCAAAAATAAATCCATTGGACACACCCTCACGGACACTTGGACATCCAATGTATATCCTCCTCGGACATCCAACAGATGACTAAATGTCTCGTCCAAGGATAATCCTTGGACAGGTCGATTGTATGGCCTCTTGGATGTCCGATTTTTTTTTGGATCCATTGGAGATTCCCTATGGGAAAGCTATCGGATGACCGTTGAGGGATGCAGCATTAGTAATCTCCGTATAGCAACGGAGCAACATTTGCATGTTAGTAGATATTCTAAGCACGAGACAGGAGTACTTCCTGTATTTTTACGATCTCACCTACTCACATTCCTTGGAGGAACTAGCGCCAAGCATCAAGATGGAAAGTAAGATATTACTGTTATGTAACCCCCAACTTCCCATCCTTATCTCTCAACTCAAGAGACTGTTCTATCATTGCCAAAGGCGATATGTCCCACATAGAGCAGGAATAGACTTTCTTGGCAAGGGGAACCATTCTCTCTCCATGCAATGTGCAAGAATTGCCAGGAGTCTTCTTAAGCTATGTTACGTCTCTCAACAAATGGACTTCCTTCCCATGGCTTGTACATGGGAAACTGTCGAGTAGAAAATGAGAGCTTCCGCTGAATAATTCATTAGCATTAAGGAAATCAGGAGACATATAGTAGTAGGTTAATTGTCGCCTCGCTTATATTGTAGGAACTTCATGTTTCTTGAATGAACTGGTAGATGTCAGGCCAGATGGAGGGTCTCAACGGGGAGGGGACTCCGTCCAAGGACATCCATGGGTAGGCCATGAGAGGATGTCCTTGGAAGCTCCTTTGCTGAACGTCCAATGGATGTCCAAACATGGACTGACATCATTTTGTTCCTAGTGTCGAACTTTATAAAGAAATAATGCATTGGTCAAAGGATAATATCAGACTGTCTATATAATGATTGAAGTTACTGGATTTCGACCTTAGATGAGACATTTGAATTAAAAAATTATAACTTCAGAAATCCTACGATCGGATGTTCGTAACGTCATTACAAAAAACCATCATTCAATAAAATGGAAATAATTAGGTGGTCGATATAGGGAAATTCTGCTCAGATGAAGCGCAGAATGCATGAAAAGATATCGATCCATGGCGATGACGCCCTATGTATGTATGTATGTAAAGGACGACCGCTTCTGGACTTATACACATCTCTGGACAACTGGACTGTCCATGGACAATTTTTGGATCACCCATGGCTACTTGGGGATCGGGTCAGTTTTACACTTCAGAAAATGGAAGCCCATCCTGATCAAAGTGTGTGTGTGTGTGTGTGTGTGGAGGGGGGTTGAAGAAAGGCAGGGGGAGCGTTGGAAATCTCTTAGCACAAGGCGCCGAAATGGCAAGGGCCAGCCTTGGGGAGGGCGGATGCCTTTCGACCTGAGCTTGGGCTATAACCAAACTTCCCCCCCCCCCCCCCCCTCCTCCCTTCACCCGACTGCACTGCTGGATGAAGGATAAGTAAAAAATATGATCGGGAAAAATGGTGTGACTTGGGGGTCCTTCTTCCAGCTATGGAGCAAAAGCGATTATGATAAGGATCTGCCCTCTTCCTATTCCGAACTGCACTGTATTTAATGCGCAAGTCTCATTCCTACATATTTTTTGAAATGTCATAGTTTAGTCCAGAAGTAATACAATGCCTCAGCTAAGGGGGCATGGGAAAAAAATTAAATATCTGCCCGGAAAAAGTTCTGCTGAAAGATCTTCGGAATTTTGGCCTAAAAGGACTCTATGGGTCGGGTCGGGTTGGGATGTGCCAAAGAGACTGATCCGCAGCCCGCTTTGGACTCTAACTCAGACCTCGGCACAGCCATATGACATCGCTGAGGGCGGGAAATAGTTGGCGCCGAACTCAGAACAGCTGAGACCTCCATTGTACAGCTGCAAGCGAGAGTCACCGTACGTAGTAGGTCCTACGAAAAAAGGTGCAAGCTTTACGCTTAATATAGGCCTAGGACTATCATTGCGGTTTTCTCCTTTACTCGTAAGTCTGTCTGGCGTGCTTAGTGAAACGTGTGTAGAGCTGGGCCTCCTTTATGTTGCCAGAGGTAACCCGTAGATGCAAGTTACAGAGCGATGTCAACCCCAATGTTCAACCCTAGTCTACTTGTTTGGCCATGAGAGTCCTCAGTTTAATTTGATATTAAGCCTGTCGCCCATATTACGTATTGCCCTAGTAGTGGTTTTACGTCAAGCAATTCAGCTTTTTAGAGACTTAGTCCTGTTAGTTTTGTTGTTAGTTGAAGGGAGTTCTCTGATGGAGGATAAACTCTAGTTTCAGAGCAGTTTATGGAGCCTAAAAGTTATCAGCATCTGTCTTTCGATATCCTTCAAATTTCTTGTAAGTTTCACTTCACGACTAATTTGATTCCAGAGACGTTACCATCTATTGCATGATTTGTAATAGTTATACAAGATTCTAGTTTGTATAACTCATTGAAAAAATGAAAGTAATTTGTCCTGGGGCATAGGCCATGGACTTTGTTAATTTTCTTACAAAGACGATACTATTCTTGTTCTATGAAGCTACTGGCAATATTCAGGAGTGAGCAAAACACAAGTGAATCCCACTAGAGTGGGAGTCATATTAATGTAACACCTAGGCTTTGTAACTGCTAATGTATATCTGCATAAGATCGGAAGAGAAATTTGAAGGGGTAGAGGGGAAGGAGGCATTAAACTGTACTGTTTGGCATTGATGTCCAAATCATGAGTCAATGGGTGACCACTTTTGATCTCAAAGGAGAGGCAAGAGGCAGGAAAGATACTAGCAGCTCTAGTGCTCTGGGTATATCCACTATTCTCTGTAAGCAAATGATACATGTGCTGTTCAGCTTCATTTATATATGTTTATATTGAAGTATGTTATATATGAGGCCTATGCTAGTATGTGGTACTCTAGGCCTACTTGACTAGTAGCAGCAAGCCATCCAGCAGCCATATCATGGAACTTGTAAAACTAGAAAATCAGAATTTTCATATTGAAGTTTAAAAAACTGTTGCTCCTTACTCAAACAACCCAGAGACTTCTAAATTTTAATTTAACAAATGTTACTGTTTTCTGTGTGATCCAAAAAATATACATATATAACATTTTACAGTAAGTAGGTAAAGCCTCAAATAGGATGCCTTTTTTTTGCACCACCCTGTACATGGAAATGTGGGAAAAATATTTGGTTGTATCTTCTTTTTAAGACAACTGTTTGTTAAAGATTTAGAACAGCAGAAAAAATATTCATATGACATGGCCAGTTCAAGTATGAAAAACATTAGCCATCCTCTAATCTTGTTCAAATGTCAAGAGTGACTTAAGTATGCTGAGGATTGGCACTTGGTCATTTCAATAAAAATTGAAAAGCAAAAACACCTCCCCATTGTGCTGAAAGTGAAATCTGCTGGAATGAGTAAAGAAAAATGCCCATTTTTGTTATAAATTATTCAAAAACTGTAATGTCAGCTAGAAATTCTGATTTGGCAGTTTCATAAACTTGCACTATCAATAACACATGAATACAAAAAAATAAAGTACTTGTATCGATACATTTTCCATGTAGAGAGCAATTTAGTATTCATTTAGGGATCATTAGCTTGTTCATCTAGCATGGTATTTCTCTTCCTTTTCCCTTGCAGTTCTGGCATCTTTTGTTTGCAAGTTTGTCAGACACTTTAGTCTTGGAAAATTTTGCAAGGGTGGTTGCTGTATTTGACAAAAACTTTGTTTGCTTTTACTCATATACTTCAATCAGGTATATAATTGTCTCAGCAGGAGCCCATTCCTCATACCTGATAATTCTTGTGAATAGAACATACTTGTTGTCTAAAAATGTTTAATACAAAAATAAGCATCACTTGGATCAAATACTTTAATCATGTATATTCTCATATACATAGCTTCATAATCAATATGTGGAAGAAAATATAAATGTGGATGACATAGATAACTACTTATAACTGACATCTTTCTGTTGGGATCATAACTCTTTAACATTTAGGATTCACTCATTAAATAAATGTATCCCATCCAATGTAACATGAAATTTTCCAAATTAGTGAAAAGGAAACTGTAACTCTGAGATAATATTGAAAGAAGTAACTAGGAATCTCTGCTTGTTTTTTTTTTCATGTAATGGTAAATAACTTAATGGTAGTTTTTTTTAGCAGATTTTTTAACCCATTGCAGTACAAAGCCTGGTATACTCTGACAACATGTTGGAAAATTCATTTTTGTTCTATATATTCTAAATGCATTTCCCATTTGATAGTTGTAGTTGATTCTTGAGTGTTTACTGATAGTTTACAAAGCAAATTCATTAGATGTCAACATTTTCTTTGCTTGCAAATATGCTAATTTTTAAAGCAGATTTAACCTCCAGCACACCACCAAAATTCGTACTGCAATGAATTGATCTGAATTAAACATTTTTCTGATTACTCTGACTACCATTGGCTTATGTAATTATTTCCATCAGAAGCAGCTAAAAAGGTGTTGCTCGCAACTCTTCCAAAAAGCCTATAAATTGTATTGCTCCCATTAATGGTGCAGTAACACATATATGCAGTTCTAATCGTCACGATTCTTTAGTTTGCAGCCTTTAGCCTGCTGTGTGAGACACCAAACTTCATGCAGAGTGTCAGAAGCAATACTGGGTCTGATTCTAGAAGTCAGCTTGTTGGACCTGGCTTGGACATAGAAGGCCTAACATTAAGCATAGGCCTGCCAAAGGTGAGTAGGCCTACTCCTATCTTGTTGAATTTTGAATGTTCTGTGGGAAACTGAAGGTGCGTGCTTGACAATTTATGCTTAATTTTAGTATGAATATTACTAAGAAGGTGTTTCTTCCTTTAAGTTCATTTTCTCCATTACCCAAAGTTGATATTCTAGCAAGTTTGTATTCTGCATTGGTACCTAGTGGTCTTGATGTCCGAGTGATGTTCCAACATATTGGTGAAAGGCCTCTTCGTTCTCCCTTCTGCTCCTGGGTCCTATTCATTATCTGAACTCAGGAACAGGTGCAGAAACTTTTGCAAAGGAGGGCAAATGGCTCTAAACTCCCTAGAAAGAGGGTGTGGGCTGGTCCACAAATTTTGGATGGGTCATACAATTCCTTCTTGTACACTCACATGCATGTACATTAAAATAACATCTCTCAGTGCTTAAAATACAGCCACTTTTCAAAGTTGAAGTATTGAAAATTTCAGTGTACTTGTCTTCTGTACACTCCTCTGTAGCCATGCCACTCTTGTAAGCTCCTACATGACTAAAGGCAGACAGCACAGTGAAGAAATTGGTTAATGATGCAGTTGAGCACCAATTGATACAGTTGAGCAAATGTTGTTCAACTGTACCAATTGGTATTTGTTCTGATTACATTTTTAATATAGATTTTTTGCATTTCTGTAAATGTAAAGTATAACTTCATTCTTGCAGTTTCCATTGTGTTATGAACTGTTTTTTCACATATTGAACAAAATTAGATTCAGGGAAGTGGATGGGCACCTGGTCAAATAAGCCAGCACACTGTAATATTAAAAACGTAAAATATTTGTAATGATATGAGAGAAACTCATCAAGAGCCAGTTTATAAATTTTTTGTTTGAAATTGTATTTTTTTATCACTTGCAATATGTTTTTCAATAGTGTCCTAATTTTTCTTGTTTATCATTTCTGTTTTTTTTTTTTCAACCAGTGTTTTAGTCTTCATTTTAATATTTAAAAACTTTGAAAAATTTCAAGTTGCAGAACTTTCCATGCCAGTAAAATCCTGTACATTCCAGTTCCATTCCATTTCCTGTACATGTCAGTAAAATCAGTTGCACTTTATGGAATCAATTCCACAAATGGATGGGATACATAAGAGCATGATTTACTACAATTTTTTTTTTACTGCAAGAATGCTAACTCTTTGAGAAGAAGTGAAGGTAGAGAGCATTGGTACCTTGTATACCTTGTTTCAGGCTCTTCCTCTGGAAAAATTGACTGGTACTTCAATTCTTAGTAAAAAATAAAAAAGAGTGGGATAAAGAAGTGAAGGAACCAAGCTAGTGGATGCATGGTAAGCACCATGTTAAACAAAGCTTCAATTTTTATTTTTCAATCCAATCAATACCTCTCATGGCATTCTCATTTTTAGCTATACTTGACAGGACAGAAAAGTAACAAATAGGATATATGAATAATTCATCTGTCTTGGAAGGTAGCATGTGCATCCTTATGTTGCATGAGCATAATTATGTTCTTGCAGGCAGAGTGTGCTCTTTCAGATGTATTAGTGTTACATGTGTGAGGGAGTATCACCTGTGTGGAAAATCAGGGATATAGCTGGAAGAAGGAAGAGTTTAACCCTTTCAGGACCATAAGCATTGTGGGACAGTGACCTTAACTTTAATGATGTGTTTAGGGTGAAAATGACGAGTAGAGTCCAAAAAACTTTGTTTGGAGGCTATATCTCCCATAGTTCTCGAGATATAGCGTGGGACAAATATGTCCCACAACAAAAAAAAAAATACTTTTTTTTCTAAAAATAATAAACAAATGAGTGTCGAAATGAGAAAATATGTTACAGTAAGGACATACGAAGGCAAACCCACAGACAATTTTTTTTCAGCTGCATCGGTTTTTCAAAACAAAAAAGTCAAAATTCACATTTCCGGACCCATTTGGAAAAGATAATTTTGCTTAAAAGATAATTTTGTCTGGTGATGACACAAATTCATATATTCACAAAACCTGCCATAATTTTGAAAGTCCATGACATACTGNAATTTTGCTTAAAAGATAATTTTGTCTGGTGATGACACAAATTCATATATTCACAAAACCTGCCATAATTTTGAAAGTCCATGACATACTGATTCCTTATTCGCAAAAAGCATCGCCCTAGACTAATTCATTCAAATTTGGGAGGATTTTGAAAATATGGGACAAATACATCCCTTGGTCCTGAAAGGGTTAAGCAGAATTTGATGCTATTTGATCCATCTGCACTGCAAAAATTCCCATTTGTTGTACTCACTTTCTTGGTTTGGCCCTTTGCAGCATTACTACGATACAAATCCCAAAAAAGGCTGAGATCCATTGACATTCACTGCTGCCTTTCTTTGAGAAAAGGATGAAGATGATCAGTAATAATTTCTCCCTGAGTTGTGTTGAAGGGCTGTGGGTCTAACTTTCATGACACCTGATGGTGACACTAATCTTATCTTGAGGCCTATCTTTTCATGTTGCAAATAGAATGTAGGAGTAAAACCTAGTTCACTTTGTGAGGTCAGCATCATAAAGTGATGTTCATATTGACTGATCATGTATGTGGATTCAAGAGCAGTGCAGCCTCAGTCATTATATATTGATGACTAGTGGCTTTGATCTTCTGATTCCTCAGCTATGAAGTATGCTTTGCAAGATTTTGTGATGTCCATACCTTGATTAATGTTGATTATGAATATGCTCACCTGCTTCTCTCAAGTTGATGAGTGCCTGGGTCATTTCATTCTAGCTGGAGTGCAGCTTTGCAGATGAAGAGATTTTGGCTTCAAATGGCTTTGTGAAGCTTGTTGATCAGATTCAGGTGAAGTCAGAACCAGCACAATACTCGCTTGGAAAGATACATGTTCAAATGGTAGGTTGTATCCTACTGAAAGGGAATACCTAGACTTGCATTATATTTGATAGGTTTTTTAATCTGTGTGATGTATAAAAAACTAAACTCTCGTCATGTTTTGGCAAGATTTCAGGAAATGCTGAATATATTTCTAATTATTTTATAGTTCATCTGAAATATTCTGATTATGTTTCATAATGTAATTTCTCTTAGTCATACTGACTGAATATGGCATTGCTAAGAGTAGTGTTTGACTCATTCAGAAGAGATGATCCTTAGAGAAGAGATAAATCTCTTGTAAATATAAAAGTGTGGAGCAAATATATAGAGTGATCAGTGGCAAGTCTGATTGGAGATATGACACCGCAATCAAGGCTAATTGCTGCATGTGCACATTAAGGTTGGGATCCAGAGAGGCTGAAAGAGGCACCAGCTAGAGATGGAGATGGCATTGGCATTGTGTGTCTCATGCCCTGCAGTTGCATTAAGCTGATGAATCTAAGTGCTTCCATTTAACCTAATTTACATATCATCCTACCAAGATGAATGTCTGGAAATATGGTGAAAGAAACAAGTATTAATAATGACTCTGGTTTTTGCCTATCATTTCTGGTTTCACATGTGGAGGGGGAAAAAAGGTTATGATCCACATGTGCAAAGTTGGATAAACTACACAACTCCAAAAAGGAAAATGCTTGAATTTTAAACAGAGAAGAAAGAAGGGAAAGAATTGCCCTTGGGATCTGAAAGAATAGTAGGATCCTCATCCAGGGTATGATCCTGCTGAAACTTTCAACGTTGACAAATCTCATTGAGAAGTATTAATAGTGCAATAATAAGCTGAAAGGAAAGGACAGAGTATAATGTGAAGGCTGTCAGGTGACCTACAGCCTAAGTCCGTCTCACAGCCACTACTAATGCACTCTTCATTAGCTAAAGAAAGTCACACTCCTGCTGCATGAAGGCAACCAGTGCATAGTGTACTATGGAAGTGAATGTGATGATGCTTTGGAGAGCAGAGAACCTCTAACCAACAGCCAAGGAGAACTTAATCTCTATTGCCAAAAATTATGTATCATTTATGAATCCAAAATCAAAATAGGAAAAAGTACTCAACAAAAAACCCCACTGTTTCTATTTAGTTCTCAAATTTTCTGTCAGATAGCTTGAATACCCTGCTGAAAAACCTGAAAAAACCTTCTGACTGAGTTCTCATGAGGCCCTATGCCATTTACCTCATGGTTGCTTGTAAGCCAGGGAAGGTCTCCAGGGACTCAAGGAAGAAAAGTAACCATTTTGATGCTAGTCTACATGAGGGGGATGGGATATATCTGGCTGTGTTTGTTGAATTGCTCATATCTATAAGGGACACTGTTCATCCATGTCATATTTAAGAAGAACCTTATCTGAACTTCCTATGAGTCCCTGGGGGATATGGGAAAAGCATGCATTGTTGATTAGTCAGATGCTGAGATGAATGCATGCACCATGATGACTCTGAGAATGATTTCCTCACTCTCCTGAAATTGGCTTGCTGTGAAAACATATCCCCCCCTTTTTCCCCCAAAAATCTATGTTTATGATAGTAGACATATCACTTTGGTCACATATGACATTTAATTGATGTTACTTGCTTGTCTATGCATTTTGATCTTCCTCCCTCTTCCCTGACAGCAATACTGACAATTATCTGTCCTGATGGCATTTTCTATATAAATAAAAAATTGATAATAAATAGGTAAAACATTACAAGATGTAGACATGTATTCATTAGTCAATGAATTATTTATTTGATGTTGGCATTGGAATGTCTGGGTAAGTAGCACAGCTCTACTGCTATTGCTTTGCTGCCCTTGAAAGGAACTGAATGCTTTTGGAGTGAAATGAGAGTGACTTTCCCTTCTGCTGCACAATGGCAATGTCCAGAATATCTTCAAAATGGGAGTGTCATCGAAAAGCAGTTTTGAAAATGAGTGAGAAATGAAATTCTTGGGAAACTGTTGATTTCTTATAATTCTTCAATCCTTTGATGGCAAAATGGTATCTGTGGTACATGAAGCTGTTCAGGAGATCCACTGCAGACCAGCAGCTGTCATATGAGAAAAATGCTTCGCTGCTGCCAACAACACTCAGTAACTGAATGCAGCCACTGAGATCTCCAAAAGAAAGACTCAGAACTATAAAGATACTGGTACATTTTCATTCACAGGCTAGCAACGGCAGTGGTGTAGCATGTAGCCCCCAGCAGAAGTCAGTGTTGTATGAAGATTCAGCCAGCCTAAAGCAGTCTGCACCAATGTCACAAGATGTGAATGCAATGGGTGAAGATGATCACTGGCAGGTGAAGCCCCTACTGTCTGTGATGTCCTCCAAGCTACAGACACCATTTACTAAAGCCCCCTTGGAATGCACATCTGATTATGAAGTCTCTGATGATGACAATGCTGACGATTCCATGAGCTGTTCCACTGCCTACATCAATGAAAACCATCAAGAATCTCTTTCAAGCCCGATTGAAGGAAATGTTGGAAGTGTTGAAAGGCCTAGAAGTTCATCCGTAAGTCAGTTTTCTTGTGCATCCCTGCTTAATTGCTGTCTCTGCATTTGTGTGCATTTGAATTTTTGGTGTATGCTCATTTTGCAAAGCATCCTCTTACAGTATGGTCATGAGGCAAAGCCATGAAGAAACCAAGCATATTTGTGAGAACTGTTAGCAATAATGATACTGTTTATTCTTTGACAACTCTATCATATATATTATGTACTATATCTTATGCACAGAGGACTCAGATGCTCTGATGTCTCTTATGACCTGATACTGAGCATTCTTACTTGTAGAGTAGTCCTGCCAGCTGTGAAATTTTTTTTGAGTGGCTGAAATCCAGGCAAATGCACAATAAGTAATGGGTAATAATTATAGTTGGTGCTCATGACTGCATAGGATGTCAAACTCCATGGGTATCAGGGACAGAACTTATATACTGACAAGCCAGTGTGGCAGTTCTTATAAGCTGGGACTCATGGAGTTGCACTGATTGCAGACAACCCTTGATATAATGCCAGTGTTGGTCACTGATTTTGGTGGTATAATGCAGGTTACACTATATTGAATGAACTGAAGTATGCTATTGGGTATGATAATAAAATTTCCATTTGACAAATTGACTAAAAGGATGTGAAGCTTATGGCCATCCTTAGCCCCTCTGATATTCCAAACTGTTCCTATGGATTATCCATTCCACAGGCTTGAGTCAACTCTCAGGGTTACACTATTTATTATACAACCACATGGACTTTCAGCAGCAAATATTTAGCTATGCATATACTAGATAAGGGTTGTAGCAGGTATGCTACTGGAGCGAAATTGAAGAGGATTTACATGAAAAAATATGCATTTGATATATAATGGTGTTGGTGGATGACAGGGTTGCAAGGTTGGTGCTATATATAATGGGGATTGCCTATCATATGCTTATGGAAAATAATTTTTCTCCAGAAATAATTGACATTGAGTGAGGGTGGCAGTTTACTACAGGTTGGCTGTACTTTTAAATGATGCAAGAAGTCCACAAATTAGTCTTGCATAATCCTTGAGTCATCCATCTGTGTTATGTTGGATAAAGAACTAGCCGTGAAAGTAGATCTATGTGTTGATGTACCATTTGAGTACTTGTAAGGCAATTTCGCCATTACATTTGTTGGAGAACTGAGGGAGTGAGGAAAATGTTAATCACCAACATAATATGCCTGGAGACCTGGAAACAAAGCATTTATTATCAGCTGCTATGAAAGGTGCCTCATGCCATTTAACACATTCATGCCCAGCGACTCCAGAACACTATGAGTTTAAAAACATAATATTACGGTTCCCAGCGTCAATGGGTTAAGAGGTGATGGATTAAGGAATTGAATTGCCCATTAGGTTGAGTTGTGTTGTCCTGATGTGAATCAATGAACAAATAATGATGACCATATTGGGGGGTCATCAGTAAGAAACTGTACTTTGAGGGCTCATTAGGCCATCCAAGAACAGAAATATGAGGAAAGTTACTTTTGTTTCCACTTACCCTCAGTGGAGCAAACAAATAGGGAAAGAGTCTACTTTTGCTTCTTCAATTGAACTGAAATACAGTGAATTCCTCTTTATTGGGACACATTGGTTCCAGGTCAATTTGCCCCAATTAAGCGACTACCCCAATAAACCGAACTTACCTTATATTATAGTAAGAAACCCAGATATGAATATCCTTTACTTGTGCAAAAACAAAAGTTATGAATCAAGAAATGTGCCTGAAAAAGTTTATGAGCACGGTATCTGCTATCATCCAAACCCTGCTCAATGAAGTAGTGCTGAAGGATGTCCACCGAACACTTGTAAGTGGCTTCTTATGCGAGTCACCTTAGGTAAAGTCTCAGGCTCCTCGTCTGTTACATTCCCTGTGACCTCTTGGCAATGATGTCCTTGACTATATCATCCTCGGTCATTGTGTTCGGTGTAGGACGGTGCATTTTCATCAATGTTGATGTAGGCTCCTCTGTTAGTGACATCAAAATTGGTCATCATTGGCTGATGCTGGCACCTCTGGTCCGGAATAATAGCCAGACCCACAGAAGCTGTTTGCAATGGTCTCTGTCTTAATAGTCGGCCAGCTCTTAACCATAAAAGACACAACAAAGAGGAGCGAGGGAGTGGGTGGAAAAATCCATCTGGGACCAACAGCATAAGTTAATCTTGATCTTGCCCCAATAAAGTGAATTTTCATCCTGAATATACGGCGAAATTTAAACGCACTTGCATTAAAATGGTTCCACTATGGCTCTGTCAGCCATATGGCTGACATAACAGTCAGTGTCAAAGCAGTGGTGTCAAACATACGGCCCATGGGCCGGATCTAGCCTGTGGAGGTGGTTCATCCGGCATGCCATATGTTCTTGAAGTTTCTGCTTGGATTGACTGTCAGCACAAATTTTGTGAAAAAGTATGGTGCCACCAGCAGGCAATCTGTAGGGTAAGGAATGTGGCCTGCCAACCGATTTGAGTTTGACACCCTTGTGTTAAAGGAACACTTGTAAGGGAAATGTTTCCCAATACAGATGTGTTACAGTGTGTCCTCCACTGGTTCTGATCTATGGGCAGGTCTTTCTTTGCTGCAGGGATATGAGCCCTATGTATTGTTGGGACGGGTTCTGTGCTGTACAGTGACAATACATAGAGAAAAAGGCAATTTTTTATGCATATCTTGCTTTAAGTATGTGTCCTACCAACAAAAGCTCAGGTTTCCCTTGAACCACCTGCATATATCACTGACTTTGGTGACCTGGCTGTAATTCACAGAATATACATTCCTCCTTGCTGTGGAAGATCTCTGGAAGTTTAGAAATTCCATGTATTTTCTACCTGTTGCCAAATAATACTTATAAAACAAAAAAGCATGCATTGTGTCATGCATGGTATCATGCATGCAAGCATACTTGATGCTCTGCTCTCACACTATCCCAGGAACTGGATTCTGGATGTGTATTGACAATATTGATTTTTTTTGCTTATTTGATTATAGGAAAGTCAGTTGCATGAATCTCTTGCAATATTTGCAACTTGTGAATGCATTTCCATATTATGTACCCCATATGTGTAACCATGGATACTATTGTGTTGCCTAATGCATGTTAGTGTATGGAGATCATCTTTGACATTTGCATAAATTTACTCTATGTTTTGAAGCAAGCAAGGATGTAATTCCATCTTATGGGTCCCACATGTAAATATCAATGTTGGTAAACATTACTTCATGCCTGTTATTCATGTATGTGAGGTGCATTCTCCCATATTAAGAACACAGATGTCATCAGGTGTAATCATTTATATTTCCCATTGTGATATTTTGTATGGGCAACTCGTATAACTTGTTCCCCACTTGAGAGAATGCTGACAATTGTGATATTATCTCCAAACTAATCTTTAGATATGTAAGCCAACATCATTTGATCAAAGAGGAAAGAACAACCTCATTCTTATTTGCATTTAATACTGTATGTTGAAAATTACCAGTATTGACTAAGGTGCTGATACAATCTACTAGATATTTTGAATGAATGGTTACTGCAGCAAGGCTTCCAGAAGTTGTCTATAGTAGTGAATGCTCCAGTCTCAATTTTTGTCCAGTTCAAGGATGGTTTGCAACATAAAATTTAAGAACAGACTATCCCTAGAAAGTGTCACATAGCAGTATATACATGATGGAAATGTGTAGAGTACATATCATCTCTGTCTCATAGGGCTTTCATGCATGAATGTGTTCAAGTTTATAGGAACTCACAAAGACTTGGCTATTTTCAGGGCTACCTTATATTTGCTGCTCATGACAAGGAGATCAGACTACCATCATCAGAATATGGCCAGGTTTCAATGTCAATTCCATGAGGACAAGTTTGGCTGAATTTTCGTTAGGGTTAATTCTGTCATTTGTTGTGGGAGCAGTGGCCTTGAACTTCTTCCAAAGTGGATTTTAGGTTTTAAAATATAGGAAAATATGCAGATAATTCCTGAACACCTACATAGGGAATTAATATATTTTGACTTGCTTTATGTGGAGATAATTGTGTGATAAAGGCTTGTAAGGGTAGATGTCAGAATGGTGTAATTAGAATTACTCTAACTACTATGATTTTATTTCCAGTCATAATTTTCTTTCATAGGCTTTTCATCACATGCTGTTTTGTGTGGTTCCTTTTGACTCTCCTTCCTAAAAATGGTGGTGACTAGCCTCATAAATTGTGGAAACTTCATCATACTCCAAAGTCCTCAATATAGTTTTTTTTACTGTGTTTGGTTGCAGAATATTCAATCACTCAGATGCACATTCACCATCACATTTTAGGTGGAAGAAACTGGGCATTGTTACAGTGCATTATTTGCTGAACTCCATGCTTATTCAATTGTTGGTTGACCCTTCATGTCCTTGTTTGAAATCTCAAAAGAATTCTAAATAGGTAGTCATAAAATTTTAAACCTTCTTTGACACAGATAAAGTTCGAATGTTAACATGGCTAATGCAACTGTCCATTCTAGAAGTCTCTCTTCACTGCTTTCCTCCTCCCTTGCATTATGCATTTATGGGTAGTACTGAATATACCAAGTATCTGTCCTGTTTTCTTTTTTGAATCGGTGTGCATGAGATATTCATTTTGTTTGGACCTTGTCTCACTAAGCTAAAATAGCAGAAGGGCATGGTATGTCTCAGGAACTCTTTAAAAATCTATTGTGTGCAGTTCTGGAAATGAAGCACTTTGCACTTTTCATTCTTTTACCTTACCAAACAACATAGATTTCATGCCATTCCATAACAAATCATTTCCTTAATTCATGTTGTTGAGCATCATAAAGCTCCATGGCAACAAAAATAGATTTTATGATGGTTGTTGCAAAAAAAATCCTGGAAATTATTAAGCTGCAGTAATGTCATGTTTCCCAAGAGAAGACATTGGCACTATTTTTAAATTGTTTTCCTCAGTGTTGAAAGAGTATATGGGATTCTGAAGGGTGTTAAGTGAGAAACATCTTGATGCAACTTTAACTTATAATATGAATCTTAACTTTTAATATGAATCACTTCTCTGGGAGACAACTCTTTATGGGAGCATGGGCAACTATTTATTTTTCCTGGAAATTATTGGCCCTAAGGCCAATTTTTTTTTTTTTGGGGGGGGGGGGGTTGTTTCTCAGGAATTCTTATAATATTTTATTCCAAAATGTATATGAAGAATTGTGGCCAAAGTATCCCCAAGTATTGTTTTGCATTATTCCTATTCTGAATACTATTATTTTCTATTTTATGGGATCAGGAGTGATCAGGAAAACCTGATTTGGAAAAGGGTGGGACTTACCTTCACAGCTTGAATGGGAGTGCCTGGGACCAAGGCCATGTGCATGAGAGATGGTGGGACTGGATTTTTTAAAATGCACAATGCATACCATACACATATTGTCGACCATGTCCCAGTGTCCACCCAAACAATGGATAATGAAGATGCCACTATGGAGTTGGATATTAAAAAATGCAGAAAAAAAAATTTTTGCCAACCCTAGTCATACTCCATTCATGATCATTCTTGCCTCTGACTGGGAAAGTGTGATCAAAGTAAGTACATGGTCATGTCAGTTTGATACAGTTGACTCGATTTGATCAGCATTCAGTTTGAGAATGGTTTCCAGAAAATTACTGCCATATCTGCCCTTGAATTGTTTATTCATAAAAAAGTGAAATTTGTTTTAAAAGATCATACAAACTCCGAATGCCCTTACAGATGTCACCTCTTATAAGTACAATGTGTTAAGTCTTGGAGGTGCATGGGTTACTGTATTGCTTATTGGTTTCATTTTGATTTTTAAGATTTTTTTATGGACTCTGGCCTACTTGATGAAACTGAATTGGGAATTCAGAGCATCATGGCATTTTTTGAGAAATTGGGAAGCGAACCAAAGACACTTGTGCAACTAGTTTTGTTGCAGGAGATACTCAACAGCTGCTAACACTAGAAAAAAAAACCAGAAAAAGCAGGCCATCAAGGATGATGAAAGATTTGATCATTCATCAATTTGGGTTGAGGAGGATTGGCATTGGCACTTGCCATGAGAGATGGATGCAATTCATGTACAGTAGAAAAGACTCCAATATTGAACTGTCAATCTAGGCAATTTTTAATCCCTATCTCCTCACATGTGCTAGATCACCATACTTTTGTGATCCTTTATAATTTTCATGTGGATGTTTGTTTCCCCTTTTATTTATACATACATTCAGTTTACCTTTTTTGAAGATGCTGCAGGATTCTCTGTTATTTTACAGGAAAGGGATTTCAAGAAAGAAAAGCTGATTGAATCTGGGTACTCTTCAAGTGATGGAAGATTGAGAAAATCTACCCGTAGCAAGAGTTTGACTAACAATATGACATCAAGGAAGAAACTTGTTGAGAAGTGCTATTGTTCTGTTCCATGTGACATTCAGTATGTTCTAGTGCATTCAGCTATGATGACCTGATGATTTCCATCATTTCTATATGTTTGTTTTTTCACTTGTCACAGGTCATCAGGGTTCTGTAAGCAATCCCCATTCCGACATTCATATACATTCATGAGTTCCTCTACTTATGAATTGTGGGCAGACATGAGGTGTCGGGAAGAGAAGTATACAAGGGACCATCATCTTATGGAAAGGCATCCAAATCTAGACCCACAAATGAGGGTTGTTCTCCTGGATTGGATGATGGAGGTTTGTCAAATTTTCCTATATTTAGTTTCCCTTTGGTGTTGTTTCATTCCCTCGTTCTGATTCAATCATTGATTTAGAAAGTAAGCATACATGTTGTATTGTTCAATTCAAGTTAACCTTCAATGCATTCATTTATACCTGGTGAGGCATAAGAAACATGCTGTTCCTTAAAGTCTTTGGTTTACATGCCCTGCTCATATTGTTAGACTTGAGCAAGAGAAATGAAGAACATTAGCCACACAAACTTCTGCAGTTTTCTTTGGTCATAGATCTTAGGTTTTTGTGGTGACCATCTATAACTCAAGATTAATTAAAATAGCCTTATATTCAGTCTTCAACAAACCAGTTTGCTGGAGTCACTTGAACCTACTGGTTCACAGCAAGAGCATGCTCCAAGCATGTACCAAGGTCAGGTTGACTTTGGCGAATCATCCAATATACCCCATTTGGTTCAAAGCGATGCACCCATTTATTTATGGCACTTTTGCCAAGAGCTCTGTCCCTGTAAACTTATTGCAGCTCACAACCAATCTGGGCTTGTGACTGTTTCTGTTTCCATAGAAACCAAGTTGCACCTTGCTGGACCTGATCATCTTCTGCCTTAGTGGTAAAATATAGGTCTACTTAAAAATGTGATATCTTTGCAATAGGAAGGAGCAATTACAACATTTATCCTACATTGGCACCTTGAGACATCAATATGAACACTATGATAAAACCATTGCTGCCAGATCACATGCAAATAAAATATTCACACTTGTTCTTGAACTCTTGGAATGACCCTTGTAATTTCCCATGAGATTCCTGGTGCTTCTCATTCCTAACACTCAGTCTTGTCCCTGGAAGTCCTGCATGTCCTTTGTGCAAGGGATATCAATGGCCTCTTGCCCGGTTCCCCCCCCCCCCCCCCCCCCCCCCCCAAATATGATATACTGTATAGTATATGTGGCTAGATGCCGATATGGACTTTAGCCTGGATGGTGAATATTTCCTCTTATGAACATAGCCAAAGTTGCTTAAATAGAGTAAACCTGCATGCCAAGGAAATCTCACATGCTGTTTCTCAACTCTACTGGATATTTTTTCACTGTAATTCTGTTGCTCTGAATCAGGCCTGATATTGTTTTTTTTTCCTTTTTCTGTAGGTGTGTGAAGCTTATGATTTGAAGAGGGAAACATTCTATCTTGCCATGGACTATTTGGACAGATATTTGTCTGTGACACAAGGTATGTTACACACTCGTCTCCAGTTGACTGGTGTCACAGCCCTCTTCATTGCCGCCAAGATAGAAGAAATTTACCCTCCTACAGTGGCAGATTTTGCATTTGTCACTGATGGTTCCTGCACTGTAGAGGAGATTCTTATCAAGGAGAAGATCATGCTGCCTGTGAGTTGATCGTAGTTGTCCTGGTGATCATGTTTCAAAGATCAAAATTATGATATAATGAATCATTTCATTGGCTTGGCAGAAGTTGGCATGGAAGCTGAATCCTGTGACAGTTGTTCATTGGGTCAAATTCTACATGCAACTTGGAGTGATGCTCAGTGATGACTCTGATCTTCATGCTGATCCAGAAGATCCTATCACACAAGTCAAGTACTCAGTGTTTGACTTTCTTCAGGTCATGCGTCTTGTTGATCTTGCCACCTTGGATGTGGAATCTCTTAGATTCCCATACAGCATCATTGCTGCTTCTAGTCTTGCTTATTTCCAAGGATTCAAGTTTGCCATTCAAACATCAGGTGTGTAAATCAGCTTTTCTTTGTGTCTCACTCATGTACAGTATTTGATTAGATAGGTGTGTGCACGTGTGTATGCACACATGTATTTGCATGCACATGTGAAGTGACTGCATCCTCTGATCAATACTTTATTCCCATTTAGGAATGCCTTTGTGAAAAAAGCCAGCATGGTTTAATGGTAAAAATATCTATGAAACAATGTAACAGGTACAGTGCTATTTCATTTTTTGTACACCTTATCTTTAAAACATGCACAGTTGCTGATTTCTGGCTGCATAATGTGCAGAGTTCATTGAAAAGTAGTGAGTTGTATAGCTTCCACTACACAGTACATTCTTTGGAAAAGGACTTATATTGGAAACTTCTCTTGTTTGGGGTAAACTTACCCTGAGTGGCAGGTTTTAAAATGTACTGAAATATTCAGTTAGTTCTGAATAATACAGGTTTTTTGGGGCTAAAACCAAAAAGCAACTATGTCTGCCTGCTACTCAACTCGTCAGCTATTTGTTTCAGGTGATATGAGTGCCTGGAACTCGTATTGCCTTGTTACCATGTGTTTTCCACTTAAGTGTTTTGAGAGGTGAAAATGAGGAGAAAAGAACAACCATTAGAAGTTATTTATTGCTTTACAAAGCCTGGAGCTCAAAGCAAATAATTTCTTGTCAACTGAAGCATTTTAGTTTGTTGTTTTCAGAAAAAATTATGTTAAGTTTTGGGTCTGTGGTTTATGGATGAGAGCTTATCTAGGGAGGCAAGTTCTTAGTTATTTTCTTCAATTCTGATTCCCAGGTTGGCATTTGTATTCCCCCTAAATAGATAGAAGGTGGAAGCAGGAATTGATGAAGCTTGCTATGTAATGATTCAGAAGTAACAATGGATTGCTTATATACCTCGCAAATGGTATTTAATTCCCTTCAATACATTGAAGAGGCTGATGAATGAAACATCGGCATCCATACCAAGTTTGGGCATATGAGGGGCACTAAGGAAGTTCTGGCAACACATTCTTAATTTGCCATTGGCAAAACCTTATTAACTTATAAAAATTTTGAGGGCACATGCCCTAAAAATTCCTTCTTTCAGTATCACCCAATCTTTTATCATGATCAGACATCCTTAGCAGTTTGATGCAGGTGTACTATTTATTGTGAATTGAGGGTCTTGGCAAAATGTTTATTTTCAGGAAACTGAGATTACTTTCTGTTTCACAAAATGGCTTGCTGGTAAATTTGGCTTATTCATTCAGGAATTAGCTTTTGGTGAGGAATTAATGGATTTTAAGCATTCTTCAACTGGAGTATCATGTACGTATAAGTGTATAAGTTGCTCGTAAATATGCAATTTTGTGTGAATGTTCAGAAATAGTATCCTGTGATGATGTACTATATGAAGTATATAGCTCTTCCCAGTAAGGATATGAAGGATGTTGCCAAAACCTATTGAACTTTCTTCTTAAGAACTCACTCACTTGGAGAAAGGAGGACTGGCTTGAAGTCCATATTCATGCCATGTGTAGTGCCGATTTTGATCCAACTGTTGCAAATGTCAGAACATGTGCTTATAGGATAGCGGAACCCAATGGTCGGCAAAATCCATTCAGTGTTGAATCAAGGGTAGCCCACAGAAAATGGTGTACAGTCTATAATACATAAGTTGACTATGAGAATTCCCTAAGCCTACCACCCTGCAGGTTGTAATCAAGTTATTCTGGATGTAATTTTATTTAAAATAGCTCAAAACTCCTTCAGAGAAGTACAATTTAATTAGTTGCTATTTTTATATATGTATCATTTGCTACTTTGAATGGAATTTGGCATCTTGACTTGCCACTTAGAATGAGTCTACTTGCCACTCAGGGCATAGATGTTGCCACTTTTTTTTTTTAAAGACATAACTCTATTCAAAACCAAAAGATGCATAAGAGATTAGAAAATGACAGTACTGTTGGAGACGTGCACCAAAATTGAACAGCAATCTCTGAACCATTTTCTGTGGTTGAGGGTTTCAATGCAGCCAAAATTCACAGAAAAGTGAAGGCCCAGTATTGGAGCATGCATGTGTACAAATAAAGGACTTGAGTGGATACAAATGTTCCATAACAGTAGAACAATTGTGAAAGACAGTGAGAGGCAGCACTTCAAAGACCACTGACAACGTGGCTGCTATGGAGGCTGTAATCTTGGGCAACTGATGTATATCAATTGCATTGATAACAACCAGGAGGTGCCTTCATTCTTGTGTAAATTTTGGAAGCATTGAAACCCTTGGACCATAGAAAACTAATCATATTTTGCTGTTCAATTTTGGTGCATGTCTCCAATGGTACCACCATTTTCTAATCTTTTGTGCACCTATCCTCTTGTGCAAATGATAAAATCAATGCATGCTAGCATCAATCAAAAGGGAGCACCTGCCCTCAAATAAACATTTTTGTTGAGGATAGAAAGAAACATGAGAAGAAAAATTATCAGCATTACTTTTTGATCCACCCTCATATAACCATCTATTTATAAGTGTGGAAGGTAAAGCACAAATGAATAGTGGTAAAATATAAGTTTTTTTTTATTAAATGAAATACATTTTTGTCAGAATGCAATTTCGTTTGGGTTCAATGAGTAGAAGCAGGGTGCCCAATGCACGGCCAATCAATTGCTTCTGTGCTGCCTGTGTGACAATTTGCAAAAAAAAAAAATTTTTAAAGCTGCAGCTGAGATGAAAGACACTAGTGCAACCAAAGGGGATTAGAACCCCTCACCATCCCCAACTTTGATCCTTTGCTCAGGGTTGCCACTCCACACTGTGGATAGGGAGCCTTGTTGCATATACTCTTCACTTCAAATTCAATATTGTCTCTTGGTGTCACAATTTCAGAAAGAGAAGGTTCCACCTGTTACTTCTTACATTTACAGATGAAGGTCAACTGATCTGTGGGTCAATACCCAAGCAACACATGCCTTCAATGCAACTTTGCTGCAACCTAGCTTGAGCTAAGTGACATTATGGTAATGTCACATAGATATCATTTATGTGTTTGTGTTGCTTGGGTAGTTTTGTGAAAGATGCCATCCAAAGTACACCTCATCAAGAAAATTTAAATCTGAAATTCAGGGACTTTGCTTTACCTGTTTCAGCATTACAAACTCAATGTAAGAGTCTCGGCACACTCATCACTCATAAGCAGGGTGGCCCTCAAAAAATAAAAAGGTTGGATTTATGTATGATATGGAAACCCCAACACCCCATGACACAATTTATTGTTGGATCATTTCTCTGCAAGTACATCAATGGTCTCTGATTTAGTCTCTAGATTTAATCAGATTTTGCTAGCAATTGGATTATTGTGAGAATAGAGTACAGTAAAAAGTCCCGAAATTCCCACACATGGAAAATGGGAATCATAACACTTCCAAATCAAGTGCAATGGGTGCACGTACTCATTCTGCCTCAAACTTGATTCAGATGTCATGATTCCCACTTAGAGAGGCATGGATTACATACTGGCAATTGTCTTTCAGTCAAAATGCATTTTCCTACAAAATAGAAATATTACTTGAATTTCTTAGCAGTTATATTTCTTTTCTCTTAGTTGTAAGTTATCAACCAGCTCTTCATAGCTGAAATCAAGTTGGCATCTGGTGGGGCTGGCTGTTATTTAGTCCCAGTGGCATAATCTAAAACTCCATATCTCATTCTACTGTTGCCAAAGAACTTTTCTTTGGCTTTATCTAATTTTTTTTTATTCTATAATTTTGGCTGTATTCTATTCTTACAATGGTCTGACTGGATGCTGAATGCGATTAAATTCTGAGTGGTTCAGCATTAATCATTGTCATACTTTAGGTCAAATTATGCACCTATATAATGTATAACAGGGCATTGCATGGCTCAGACAAGTACACTCAAGAAACCCTTATCCTCATTCCAACTTCTTATAGCTATAAAATGGCAATGGCTAAATAACTTATATGTTTTGGTCACACTGGCTATGATACTTTTTTCCCATTGAAAGTAATTGGATGTTGTTTCTTAATCACCCTATATTTGCAATGTACTTCTGTGTTTTTTTTAATAGGATTTTTCACTTAAATCTTTTTGGGTGTAGGGACAAATCTTAGAAAAATGGAAAGAACACCACTTTTGCTTGTGGTCTTTCAATTCACCTTTGCGGAACAAGTTTCATGACCCTCTTACCCTGAACAGGGAAATCTCTCTACTGGAGCTTATGTCTAGATCCATTTGGTGTACAATTCACTTGCTTAACTATTTCAGACTTTTAAAATCACATGAGGGATCACATGAAGTTATCATTTAGAGCTTGCAAGTTGTAGTAGTTGTAAACAATGGGAAAGTAAATAATGAAATATTTTTGTCCTTCGCAAAGAGACTTATGCCATGGGTTTGGTCATCCTATTTGACTTCCTTTTCCCCTCATGACAATTTTTCCTTTCTTCTGCTGTAAAGGTTTTGATGAAGAACAGTTGGAATCCTGCTTATTCTGGATGAAGTGCTTTGCCCTTGCTCTCCAGAAGAAGAATCCAGTTCAACCACAAATGTCAAAGGAATCCTCCTCAACTCCAAAATCTCATTGCATTCAGAATTATGAAGTCAGCGTGGTTCTCTTTGTGAGTTAGAATTTTGCCATTCTGCCAGATTTTTTTATAATTTGGATTAGCTGTTGAGTAATGTGCTTTTCTTGATGTCATGTTTAGGAAGAAGCTAAGAAACTTGAAGTGGAAAGTGATAACTTGCAGCTATGTTTCAAGACCCTTCCCCTCTTGCACCAAACAAAAAATAAGTGAGCCCAAGGCCAGGATTGATATTTTGGCGTTATTCAGCCATAGTCTTTATCCAATGGTTGGTATGAGACTATGAAGTTAAGGAGGCTGCAAGCTGGAGGATATGTGACAATGTTCCTCTCCCAAGATTCAGGTTCCCATGGACTTGATTCAGCCATGTGGTGGTGTGTACTGCCCTCTTTCTGTGTCATGATCTTGTTGGAGTGGATTTGGGACCACATAGGGTGGATTTTTTAACTGAGCACTATCTGACTATGCAGCTTTATTTTCAAGAACTATAATGTATTTCCCCTGAAATAAAGCTGCATTATCAGATAATTCTATTTAAAAATCCACCCTTAGAGTTGTTGATGCCTAATGTTCAACTGCAGGGACTGGCTAAATATTGATGATTTTTTGCAATTTTTTCTTTATTCTGCTAGTCATGTATTCAGTATATTTTAAGAGAATGGCTCTGCATGCATTGCTCTTTTATCTTTTTACCCTTTCCATTGACAAGAGTCCTTGAAACTGCCTTTTAGGGAATTGCTGAAAGTGTAGTAATTTATTGCCCTTAGGCTGCCATGGCAGACAGTTCATATGGTATGTGATGCTCAACCATTAGCTATATATTCTGCATGACTACTTCTCTGAATTCTCAATGCATATTAAAGACATTTTTACATGTGATGAAATTCTTCTATAGAGTTTCATTTGCACTACTTGCAATGGCAGTTCTCATTAAGATATTTGAAATAATCATTGGGGTTGACAATGCAAAGCTGGATGTAAGTTTAATTGACAGGAGGAATGGGGAATTATTAAAGTGTCACATTGCTAAGTGAATTTATTGACTTGGGGAGACCATTCCAGATCCATTTCCTGCAGCAAGGGACTTCCCTGATACCACAACAGGGTGGCCACAATGTCTTGTCACACCTGCAGCAATTTCTTGAAGTTCTCTTTTCTCTTCTTTTATCAAGTAAGTTGAACATAATCCTGAGTGATAGAAGCCATTACACTTTGGAACAACATATTGTTGCCAGTGTTCACGAAGGTCCACAAATGGGAGACCATGGAAGAAGTTTGTGACAATTTCCAACGATTCAACCAAGAAGCTCCTCCAAAAAATGGGGCACAAACTGATCCACTGGACAATCACTTTTCTTTGCTTAGTGAGAGTCTTGTTCTCCTTTCTACTAAAAGTGTAGTCTGGCTATGCTTCAGTGGAATTGATAGGAACTTAGAGGGGGAGAGTGCTTTTGACAGCTCAGGTAATAAACATGATTAAACAATTGTTTCACTTTCACTCCATTGGTTGTGCTATGGGTGAATTTCCATGATTTACCAAACTGCTCTACCGAGATTTACAGAGTGGGGCAAAAGTCACTATACAGTTGTTGAATATAGTTAATAACTTAGTTTAAGTTCTAACTCTATATTGACAGTTGTTTACAACAAAAAACACAAATAACAGGAAAATGATTGCAATGTCATTTCAAAAGCTACCAGCTTCATCCAGCAGTATTACTCTGAAACAGAGGACCAAATTAGCAAAACAGCTATTTTCACTATACAAGAGCTGTATCGTAACTTTTGCCCCACCCCTTATATGCAGTCGACTCTCATAACGAAGTCAATGAAGCCGCCAGAATATTTCGCTATATCGGATTTACGTTATATCAGAAGGGGGTCATATATCTCCATTCAGCGGGCTGAATCTATATTATGCCTGAGTATATATGATTCGGTCATCCAATGAGTGTATTATGGGGGGGCCCGACGGCTTTTGAGGGTTTCATGAACAGCAATATTTTAAAACGTTAGCTGTCGCATGTCCCGCGGGTGGGTCACGTGGCCTCGCGGTTAAAGCGTCGGAAAAATGCATTGAAAGCCGACGTGTGAACCCTATCAGACCTGGCGTCCATTCCAATGGACATTGCATTTACAGTGTGTCTACTGTATGGCAATTTCTTAGGATTCTCGTGACTTTGCGCTCAATATTACGCTACAATGGGCGCAATTATGCATGTCCAGTTCCATCAGAGGCCTTTTTCACCCATTAGTTTTGTAATATTCAGTTATTTAGTTAAGTGTTTAATATATGGTATGATATGATGAATTTATACAAAATATAAAAACTACATATAAAGAATGAAATTTTCAATTGCAATTGCAAGCTCAAAAATGCAAAAAAGAATATTCCGATAGTGGCCTAAACTCAGGTCTGAAAGGGTTAAAGGCGTGAAAGTCTCCACTGTGTACTGGGCATGCACCTCCCAAAACCTTGTAAAATGAAACTAACATGGGACGAATTGGGCGGAAGAACTTGATGAAGAGCTGAGCGCGAACACTGAAGTGCTTCATACACTCGCATCGCCCTTGTTCACATCCCCGGCCACATGCACATTCACATTCCCCCTATCACTCACATTCTACACTGCTACATCCTCGTAGGCCGTGCAGCTAAAGCACCGAAATGAAGGGTTGGATATGAGGTGAGAACTGACTCTTCTGCGTTTCCGTCAGAGGGAAATATTCTTTAACCCATTGGCATATGACTTGATCTTATCAGATCAAGTCTCACTCATCGGCAAATAAAAGCACAACCAGAAGGAGGTGAGCGATCTTGATGAAATTCCGTTCACTAGTTCATAATAGCATACTATGAAATCGATTAGAATTCCAAGTGTGTGGGATGAATATTAGTGGAAAAAACATACCAATTAATCTAATTTCAATAGGAGCTATTGGGTCATACTAATCGCCCGAAACAGTTACTTACAGGGTGTTCCGCAAGTCCCAGGTCATGATTATTTACGATTATTATTATAGATATTAATTCTTAGTTTCTATTTCAGATAATTTTAATTATTAGTTACCAATGCAAGATGACAGACACTAGTCCATTTACAAAAGAAGGACTCAGCCGCTCTTTGGTATCACTAGGATTATATTGTGCCGAAACAGTGGTGGAGCACATACTGACCTACTGGATCAATAACTGGGTAAGTGACCTGGGACTTACAGAACACCTTGTAGATAATTTTTCATGACGAAACATGGTAGGAAAGCTCCTATAGATGTGCAGAAAAATCGAGCTAAGTTTGGAGATCGTGAGATGAAGCAATTCGGAGAAAACTCGCTAAACGCCAGAAGAATTGGTGAGAAGGGCGGCGCCATTGAAGGCGCCAGTTTATTTTTTTTCCTTCCCTCAAGCCACTTCCCAATAGGGCCGTTGTTGAGTCTAACTGTGAGGCAGTGCCAGGATGGGATCTCTGGAGGCGATTTCAACAAACTGCTAGTGTGTTTCATCGATGAAGGGAAACTGGGATACTTACCATGCATGAATTTGGTGCATGCATCAGCCTGACGCATGAAGCTGATACATGAATCACCATTACTCTCCACCATTACTCATCTCACGATCTCCAAACTTTGCTCGATTTTTCTGCACATCTATTGGAGTTTTCCTTCCACGTTCCATCAGGAAAAACCATCTAGGTAGCTGTTTCGGGTGGTAGTTTGACCCGATAGCTGCTATTGAAATTAGATTAATTGGTATGTTTTCCCCATTAATATTCATCCCACACACTTGAAATTCTAATCGATTTCATAGTATGCTATTATGACCTATTGAACCGAATTTCATCAAGATCGCTCACCTCCTTCTGGTCGTGCTTTTTTTGGCGATGAGTATATTATTATTAGTATTATTATTTTAAAACTTAACTTTATGCGAGGAAATAGTCTCAGTGCCTATGAAATGCAAAGAGAAACCATTATTGCGTAAATAAATGCATGCTCTTGCCATCTAGCATAATTGTTTTGAACTTCACCAATGAACTTGAAAACAATGGCGGGAAAAGCTATGACGTATCTGTCTTCTGGTCATACTAAAGCATTCAAGTCTGACTGCAGAAGATAAAGCTGCATGATTAACGTAGGAAAGTTGCACGTGGAAACTTTGAACTCCATTTACTGCTCCACCGAATCAATAGCCCTGCATAGAGAGGGCTTCATGAAGGAACATCTAAAAAAGGAAGCTTTTTATGGAGAGCAGAAAGGAGAAGGCAGGCATTGCCCTGTACCATATTATGGGACGTACTTGTGGGCATTACAATATTATCTGCAATAGCACGATATTTTGACTGCATTTTTTCTGAGGATATTAGATAAGGGAAAGCATTCAATTCGAGATGTTTTTGCAGCGTTTCGTTTGAAAACGCTGGCACACGTCGTCCAGTTCGGCATTTTTCTGTCTTCATGTGCTGGCACGTACGACTATAGAACGTCTTAAAGACTTTTCTTTCTGAATATCAAGAGGTATACAACTGCAGATGACTTGACCTCTTCAGACCCCGTGGCATGTACGCATGCCACGGGGTCCAATGCCAAACATTAACATGTTGAAACCCCTGCTGATATCGCTTCTTTGTCATGGATCACTGAAGGATTAAGGAGAGTTCCCGAAAAAAATCCATGCGCCTCATTGGACTCAGTCTGCATCACAGCAGGGGCTTGTGAACATGGCGCTTCTTTGAATATGGCCACCCGCGTCGTCTGCGATCATAAAAATTATTGTCGATTGCTCATTATTGGCCCTAAATTTATAATGCATGTTGAACTGCAAATAGCGTGGGAAACTATTTATAAATAAAGGAATATCTGACTTATCATAGAGCGCTTATGGGATGGGTCAAAACATAGATGGCATGCACACATGCCACGAGGAATAGCGCCAGTAAATTTGCGTTCCTCTTCCCGAAAATTTTCTGGATCCGCCGTTGGACATGGGTGAGCCACGCGATAGGAAAATGTCTCCAGCCCCATTACCACCAAAGGAAGCCATTTCTTGTGGTACTGTTCACATAATGAGTACTTGGAAAAGTGAGAACTACGGTATGGAGAGCCAGTATTTGGGGATTACTGACCTCTCCCTCACAAGTGGGGTGGGGTCGTAGACTAGACAGGTCTGCTCGAAAGCAGAGCGAGTTTCGAGCCCTCTGCGCATGGTGTCACGCGGTTCAAGAGAGTGCAGCATCGTCTGCTACAGCATTAAAGAGATCAAGGGTGAAAACATTTTCGATTGTTACAGCTTTGCCGCGCTCTTAGCGATAGCTAAATTCCCTACTGCATTTGTTATGGGTTAAAATATGGTAGAATGAAGTAATTTTCTTCCGTCCTGCTCATTATTCGACTAATCTTCACTTTGAGTGTGTCTCTATGCTCTCTCATCATTCACTTTCCGAATTCCTAAGAAAGTGCGGCATCGCACAAAAGCGTGCATGACCTGAAGCAGGGCTGACACTTC